CATTGGTCAAACAATATGTACGTGATGTGTGAGATTCTGGAATTGCGTCACGACTTTAATCAAATACATACTATATTCATAATGAATTCAATAGCATAAAGCTACAGATAACTTGTACATGCATAGTTTTAAACTGAACACAATATGTGTATTTTATCACGAATAAAAAACCTTACATTACAATTGAAATGGATGAGAAAACGGTGTTATGCTATTATGATTGGTTCGCAGACAAGTACGTTTTGCATGCAGTAATATACAAAACGACGTACAAATTAGGGTAGCCACTCGAGTAAATCGCTGTATTTTGCAATTAGCCAATATTAGTTACTAGCACTTTTAGAGACCATTGCTGAATGATTGTATAAATTATGAAAGGATCGTTTGAGACGACACACTTCCAGATGTGCATCGAAAGACATGTCTTAAATAGACCTAAATCCAAACTGTTTCCATAGAAAATCATCCCTATTTCTCGATAGTAGGAGCATTATGATTCATACGTGATGCTCTCGTGAATTTATTCAGATATCCCTTGTGTATATAGTAGCTATGCTATTCTCATATGCTGTCCTGTTTTGACGCTCGAGTGTGGGCATATTATTATGAGTATGTGATACATTTAACCAGTTCTGTAGACACTATCTCACTCGAAAACGTGACTGAACAGTTGAATATATTTTTCGTTCAGGTATTGTCAGACCTCTTATCTATCTCTTATCTATCCCCAAATTTAGAATTTCGAGCGTACATCTCAAGCATACATATATGCACCTGCACGTCGCTGCTGATATAGAATTCGCAGCAAAACAAATAATTAGACTACTGAGTTTGGTCTGCGAATATACATGTACAGTAACAACTTTTTAAAGCCACCCTTTAATAGCTACCCTTTAATAGCTACTTACAGTTACTCACAGAACCAATATTTTCTAAATACGTTTTCTCCGATCACTTCACCTTTAATAGTTTCAGGTTCTCGCTCAAGCTGTCAAGGACGACATCACAGAGCTCGAAAAGCATGTCCAGGTTGTCACTGACCTGCTCGAAAAGGCTTTAACTACAGTCAACGAGCTAACTAGGAAAGGTATTAGCGCTTATTTAAGCTGCGAAAACAATACGAGGTGGGAGTTTGGGGTATCATTTCACATTTCGTGATTTAACGTATTTGGCTTCCAATATTTTGCTTCCATTATTTTTTTTTGCAGAAAATAGCGAAGATCTGGAGAGAGTATCGGCATTGATCACTTTGACAGCCGGGAATGTACGTAAAGAGCTCACGGCTATGGATAAGCAAACTGATAATTTATCCGGTACGGGTGGACTTACAGTTAATGAGCGCGTACAAAAACAACAGTATGCGTCTTTATCGAAAAAGTTCCTGGCTGTAATGACCAATTACAACACCACTCAAACAATCAGTAAAGAGAAGTATAGAGATCAGGCCAAGCGACAGTATTTAATAGGTATGTCTTGCACCAAGTTAAATCGCATTTATTAATGCCCATCGCGCAAGTAATTGGGAGCGTCTCTACCTCAATTTTCAGACGGTTATCTGTTGATCTTGTTCTATTTCCAACTATTATTCAGTCAATCCAAATGCTACGGACGAGCAGATAGAAGAAGTTTTGGAAAGTTTGCAAAGCGGCGGTCAAGTTTTTGCTCGGCAAACTCTCTCATCGGTAAGCTTCGCAAATCGCAAGCCATGCGAATTAAACTTTGACGTCAACTTATGTCCGATCAATCGTTGTTGTTGTGACAAACTCATCATCATTTTCATTTTTATTTATTTTATATGTATGCCCATTCTATTATTTTTCGGGCCACTTCTCATTCTCGGTTAAATCGTTAATACAGGAGCACATCGAGGCGCAAGTTGCTCTCGAAGAAATCCAGAGTCGGCATAAGGACTTGATGATATTGGAGAAGTCAATTCTCGAGTTGCACGCATTGTTCGTCGACCTCAGTTTTTTGATAGAACAACAAGGTATGTACGACGCTACCTCGCCTCACTTATTTTGCTTGAAAATCAAACTCTGCAGGTACATTGGCGTTTGCCATATTCCATGTATATCGATGATCGTCTTTTCTATTTTTTACTGTACAAGTCTGAAGTGATCACCACAATATGCACATGTTGAGACTTAAATACCTCATTATCTCACGAAATGGTCGATTGCTGACTATTTACAGGAGAGCAAGTGGATAACGTAGAATACGCTGTGGGGCAAGGCAAAGATCACGTAGAAGTGGCCGTTGTCGAGCTGGAGGAGGCTGTGGTATACAAGAAAAAAGCTAACAAGGTTGGATTTATCTGATTTAACTTTCCTGCGGTTGTTCGTTAATCTTTCCCCCCATTGTTCGTCACACGCGTATATGGTATGAAGCCCTACTCATTCTAACTCACACCGTGTATTTACACAGAAAATGGTATTCTTTTACATCCTGATGGTCGCCATAATCATCGGCATCGTAGGAGGCCTCGCCATTCTGCAATGTACCTAGCTAGTAGCACACGAGGCGAATCAAGTCTTGGAACGGAATAACCATAATATGCGAAAAGCAACAATAGAAAACAAAAAGGCGGACTAAGCCTATTCAACACGACAGACATTACATACAACTACGAGGGCTCTGGGTCGAATGCGAGAGCTGACATAGTGTACACAAGAGTACTTTAAATAAATATAAGAAACTTGATTTGATGATAAATTTTAAAATCACTGAATGAAGCAGGGCCAATTTTAGGTTTTTCGTTGCAATGAATGAACTTTGGGCGTACCATACTATGGTGAAGCTTGTAATTGATGTCACGCGCCAAAGCCATAAGATGTACTGGATATAAGTCCATCAGCCAATATCTTAATAACAATCATCCAGCCGCCATAATCGAATTTCACAAAACGAGTTAACTCTGGAAATACCAGTGACCAAGGTGAATTGCATCAATTGCCGTGTATGCAAAGATAACTACTCCAGAGCAAGTTCATACTAATTCTGACTGTGCTCCTCCAATAGATTCTTCTCCTGTCCGAGGACGATTTCGCAGATTTGGATTGCTTTCAAAAGCTGAGGAAGAACCTAGGATCAAGAAGCAAAGGCATAAAGCGCTTGCTTTAAGCGTGCGGGACAACTACAACATATCCTACATATCGATTGTATAATAATCACTATTGGGTACGTGATGTTTAATTATTGATTGGCCGCCCCACTTGGCATTGCAAAAGTGATCAATTCCCAAACATAGTGTGGCAGACGAATCTGTATGCACATGATCATTCAATTTATAGCTTGATGAGTTTGGTTTGTGGTCCCAATTTAGCAATCCTTGAAAACAGCTTTTCGCTTGGCGGCGAAAGCATCCATACCTTCCTTGCGATCCTCCTGCAGGTGAAAAGCAATATACAAACCATACATGAGCTCTTTTATATATATTTGTGACAAATTAATGATTTTCATTCAATCTGAATATGAAAAATATAAGGACATCCGTCTCATGCTTTTATGCTCTTCAAACTGCACAAGCTCGAAAATCGGAAAATAAAAAACTGAACGTACCAAGGCGAACGTCGAGTGGAATAGCTTTCTCTCGAGGCGGTTGCCCTCGTTCAAAGTCAACTCGTATGCTGTGAAATTGAATGGTGAAATAGTTAGTATAGGTTTTACGAAAAGTATCTGGTCAGCTACGCACAAATTTCAGAAGGGGTATTCAAAACAGAACGTGTCAGAATGCACACGAATATGAACAATTAACTTACAGGCGCTTATGGCTTCCTTGCACATGGCTACGACAGGCTTAGATAGAGACGCGATCTTATCTGCTAGCTTGATTGCCTCGTTCAAGTTTTCCTCCTTGGGGTGAACCTACAGAATGTGCCAAGTTGATTAGCAGCACGCCCCAAAAATAAGCATGGCGTCAGACTATCATACGAAACACCAAAGCACACAAAAAGGAGCCTAAATTAACATAGGCACTGAGCATAAAATCCCTAGGTGGCATTTCAGTATGCGAATCACCACTATCAGAATTTCGGGAGCATAATGGGTCCTACCTTGGCTACGAGACCAGATTGCAACGCAATTTCGGCATTAATTTGATCGCCAGTCAGACAGATTTCCATCGCCTTCGATTTGCCGATAGCACGGACCAAGCGTTGAGTTCCACCAGCCCCTACAATAAACATAGCACAGCACACAGTCAACAACTTGCGACAAGGAATATATGGCAAGGACTGTAATTCTGACCGATGGACAGATGAGTAGACCTGAACAGCACATAAATCCAGCTCAATTCGATCGAATTCCACCCCTACACACACCTGGGATGGTGCCCAAAAGAATTTCGGGTTGTCCAAATTTGGCATTGTCTCCAGCGTAGATGATATCACACATCATGGCCAACTCGCAACCTCCTCCCAGAGCATATCCATTGACAGCCGCAATGATGGGTTTTCTAGTGGTAGTGAGCTGAGTCCACGAACTCAGGAAGTTGCCTGGAGCGACGCAAGCATAGGCATAAGTGTATGACACAACTAACAACCATGATTGCACCTCTTAGAACATGTGAATGCCAATCACGAGAAGCAAACAGGGTCATGACCACCACCATGGCTGGGTTTAATTAGTCCATTCGCGACATACAGACATATTGCAAAAAGCGATCGTTTATGTTATTTTTTTCTAGTTTAGTGTAGTAATCAATACAAGCATACTAAGCAGGTTTAGTTCGAGACACACCCTCGCGCCGCAATACTTGTACCCCACAGAGAGTAGACGATACAACAAATCAATACACACCATTGATAACCTCAGGGAAGGATTTGTCCTTCATTTGCTTGATATCGGCACCTGCAGCGAACGCCTTGTCGTTTCCAGTGATTACGATAGCTCCAACTTCAGGGTTTTTATCGGCCTCGGTAACGGCGATGCCAACTTCATCCATTAGCTCATCGCACAGTGCGTTAAGGGCTGTGGAGTGTAGAATAAACTGGTGAGATCGAAAGCTAAGGTATAAAATATATGTAGGAGCTTGCTCTGTTGATTTGAAAAATACTACTCAGGCGAAGGCTTGGTGGTCCTATCAATCTGTTCTTGTTGAGTACACACGCTGAAGTATGAGTGAACTTGAAAGGAAATAGAGATGGTCCACCTAATCTACACGTATAATGTACGTTACAGACACAAGATGTTCTCGAGAACACAAACGATACATATTCTGCATTTATTGTACCTGAAACTACTTGACTTTATACAAACCGATTTACAATATAAGAAACTCTTCATTCAACTCAATAGCTAGGAATACAGACAAAAATATATAATTGGACGGTTACATAGTCCATTACATTCAAAACAGAGCAATCAGGCTGTTGGCTCGAACAACTTTTATTCCAGCTGGAATTTGTTTCTTCGCGATAAGCATGGCAAATCCTTCGTTAGATACTTGTCCGCGTACGACACACTCCACACCATCTGAATTAAACTAGACGGTGACTGGAACTGACCGATACGCTCCACAAAAAAGTACTATAGATGTATTTACTGCAACCTGCATTTTGGTAGCAGGCACAAAGAATGTGTTCGCATACCTTTGGGACGGTTCAGAGTGACCAAAACCACAGCATTATTGGCACCGACTCGTTCGGTCTTGATCATGTTGTATGCCATATTTGTGGCTGTAGGGGAGAGAAAAGAAAATAACTTCGAAGATGAGTCTGAAATCTCTAGATGAAGGGCAAAATCAGATCCCAAGCTTAAATACCGCAAGTAGCTGATGATCCTCTAGTGGCGCGACTGTACTGGATACACTCATTTGTGCATATATACTGGTACGTGCAAGCTAATCATTCTACACAGAGATAGCCCACCACAACATACCATAGCCACGGGTACAGCCAACAGCGGCAAAAGCACGGACAGAGGAGAACATACTTGATCTGAAGCGTATAGTAAAGTAATAGAACTACGTTGTGTAGAGTAATTTCGACATGTCAAAGGTATGTATGTATGTGTATTTAAAATATTTTTTTTTACTGCGGGCGCGGATTGCGGAATCGGGTGCCGGTGGGCGGCCCGGCACCCGAGGTGATGATGAATGATGATGCCCAAAACCTTCAAAGTGTCACTTGTAGTTGTCACTTGTCACTGACCTTTGACTTTGTGACAGATTTTTATTTGTCGACGTTTGTTCATAGTATATATTTTAGCCTTTGCCTTATTGCCTATCAAGAAGGCGTATAGTTTGTTTGTATATTTATAGCCTGGCCCTCTGGTCCTTCGGACAAAAGTCCGATCAGGCCGAGTAATTTTAGTGAGCGAGGGTCGTGTAATTTGTAAAGCCTCAATTTTTATATTTAGAGAGCACACCGGCAGTCCGGCACAGCCTTCAAATCTTCAATCAGAGGGATAATATTATTTATAGCCTCAATATTTTATGAATATATTCGGGGGCGATCGATGTTTTCAGGGTGAGCCCCTTCCTCCTGCGAGAGTCATGATTGCGAGAGCCTCTTGATGTGAGCCTGGGGAAAAGGACAAGATAAAGGTGGACCGTTGGAAGGGCTTAATAGCACCTTGGCCACCTAAAAAATAATCACATTAGCACCCAAACCGGGAAAACCTTACAACTGTAGGTGTCTCTCATCGGCAGCCTAAAACCACAACCACACAGGTAAAGTGGACTTTTCAAACTGATAGTAGCTTGCCGAGAAACGAGATTTAGCGATACTTATCAGCAGAACACATTCGCAATCACTACTTTGCACGCCGGTACAAGATATCATGTAGAGCTCTACAATATGGACAGTGAGAAAGAAATCTCCACTATGTATTTAGCAATAAAGTTGTTGGATATATATATATATATATATATATATATATATAATATATATATATATATATATATATATATATATATATATAATACTATATACTATATAGTATA